GTGCTATTAAAAATGTAAAATTCTTATATTTTGTCGAAGTAAATTCAAAAGCCCGCCAATTTTCAAGCTAAAATAGCATTACATCTTTCTATATTACCGACTGAGTATTAATTGCACAAAACTATTCCATATGTCGCTAAAGGTAAACATGCTGCCAAATTTCTGTGAGGAATCTGCAACTCTTAATTATCCTTCCTCCATGATGGTAACTGTGTAAACCCTACATCGGCCCAAATTCAAAGGACGTTCAAAAAATTGCAATGTTTAAATTTATTACATTCTGGAACTGAAAATTGCGAAACAGGTGGGGATGCTTTACTTGTAAGGCTACATGAAATTCGTAGGACTAGTAAGGATGAGCCATTTTGCAAAATCGCGTGTAATGGTGGCAATATTGTCGAAAATGTAAATATAAACAAGCATATTAATAAATTGCGTGCACAAAATATTAATATTGTTTAAGAAAATTTTATTATATATGCGGATTTTTAATAAAAAAAAATGTCTTAAAATTCAACGTTGCGATGTATGTACACAATATGCCTTAACACACGAAGTCTTGGATATAAGCTCCATGTATTGTTATTATAAAGCATACAAAAAAAGCAAATAAAGATATTTTTGGCAATTTAAAAATGTCAAATAATAGTTGTGTATGTTTAATAACAAAAATTGAAATAATTTTTCATCACAATTTTGAATTATTTATCACTAAATCCGGCATTAGTATTTTTTTTTAGATTTAATTAATTCCGAGATAACATTTGACGCTTCTTGTCCCCGATTTCCATAAATATATGTTATTAAGGGTCGATTCCACCGTTGTGTTAAACGAAGATTAAAATGACATTGTTAATGTAAAAATGTAATTTTAAACTTCGTTTAACACAACGGTGGAATCGGTCCTAAGTTATATTTAAGGCTGCTCATATATTTCACTTTAAAAATATTAATAGAAATTTTAAGACCATCAATAAAAACAAGCTAATTATTTGGCGCAATCTGTGCAGCTTTTTTGTTTTAATACGATCCTGCCTATCAAAACCTTATTTTATTACAAAATCTTTAAATACGCTTTAATCCGACCCTGACTAAGACCCTCGAATGGCGTCGTCAAGGTCAAATTTTCTTAGTATAATATTTGTATGCGATCAGCAGAGAGTGGGCCTGCCGATTGTTTTTTATGCCGTGGTAAAATGCTGTCATATTATGACAACTTCTAAAACACAATAATTATAAATTATAATGCTTCTAAATATTAACTTGACTCTCTCTGCATTTAAGAGTTCTAGCCTCTAGCACTTTTCAATAATTTTAAGTATAATAAACAAAAATTCTAGCCTATGGCACTTTCTCAATAATTTTAAGTATTTTAATTCAAATACTGCATGAATGAAACGAATTTTAATTGAATCGTATGCTAACTGGCTTTGCTAACTATGAAAAATTAAATCCAGTATTTTGAACAAAAGGTCAAATGGAAAACTTTTGCGTGTAAAAAGTATTTCCGTTTTTACAATTGTAAAGAAAATCTAATATTGCCTTTTTGGCATAATACCAAGTTCGCAGGTAGTGCTATTTGTGGTATTCTTTTTTTAACAAAAAAAAAAATGTAAACACTGTCCACAGGATGTGCTAGGTATTTTTTTGTAGCAAAAAAAGTAAATATTTTCTAATATTTAATAGGAAAATACCTAACTGTAAAAGTACCAATTTTGGAAAAAAAAATGTAAATTGAAGAAAAATTGTTTTTCCTACGACCACTTAGGAAAGTGACACATATCACACTATATAGTCCTATGGAAAGTGTCCTATATCACACGCGTATGACTAAGAATTTACTTTCCACCCAAGTGAGAATATGTTACTTTCCGCAGTAGTTGTCAAAAAATGTCAAACACCTAATTTCTATTTTGATCTATGTAATGTCCATATTAATACTAAAATCGATATGATTGTTAAATTATTGAAATTGTTTTAAATTAGATCCTAGATATTTGTCTTTAACAATTATTATTAAAATAATTTTAAAATAACTAAGATTATGTTTGCTCTTTAATTTGGGTAAATACATAACCGATTAGATCATTCAATTGACGTAAGGCCCATTAGCTCAGTTGGTTTGGACTTCGAACTTATCAACTTTGCCATTTTTCGACCGCGTTCAATCTATGGTTCAAATCCTGGCGGAGCAGAATTATTTTTGTTTTTTTTTTTTTATTTTTTATTAGTTTTTTTTTATTTAGAAAATATGAAAATTGAATAAATACGATTATTGTTGATTATTTTTTTAAATACATTTTAATTAATATAGTAATAACCTTGGTTTTACATTTTTTTGATATTATTTTGTAAGCTAATTTCTATTTTTATCTATGTTATATCCATATTAATACTAAAATCGATATGATTGTTAAATTATTGAAATTGTTTTAAATTAGATCCTAGATATTTGTCTTTAACAATTATTATTAAAATAATTTTAAAATAATGTTTGCTCTTTATTTTTGTTAAATACATAACCGATTAGATCATTCAATTGACACAAGGGCTGTTAGCTCAGCTGGTTAGGACGTCGAACTTATCAACTTTGCCATTTTTCGACCGCGTTCAATCTATGGTTCAAATCCTGTCGGGGCAGAATTTTTTTTTAGTTTTTTTTGTTTAGAAAATATGAAAATTGAATAAATACGATTATTGTTGATTATTTTTTTTAAATACATTTTAATTATTATAGTAATAATAACCTTGGTTTTACATTTTTTTGATGACATTATTTTGTGGTCGTAGGAAAAATATTGTACATCACTTGTGTGAAAAGTGATTTTCCACACTCGTGTGATAGTCGCACTCGGCTTGCGCCTCGTGCGACAATATTTCCCACTCGTGTGAAAAATGTCACTTTCCACACTCGTAATGTAATATACTATTTCAGAGAATTTATTTAGCTATACCTGCAACCTGCGATTCACGACAACTTTTAATTTTTCCTAATTTCTTGACTTACGACCGCGCGGCTTTAATCGCGTTTCAGTCATTCAGTATTCGCATTACACTCTTTGGGGATCATGAACTAGACTAAATTTTTAATTGATTGTCCGAAAGCATTTTTATTTCTAATCGAAGAAATTATAAGTGTAACGAAATAGGGAACCAAAAATCTAATGATGACCCTAAAGTTGAATGCGCTGCTATTTAAGAAAGCATTTTTTACAATAAAATAGTGGTGGCAGACTTCGAGTTTTTTATTCATTGTTGAATTTAAATAGTAGTTTGTTCAACAAGAGGTGATACGGGCAATACACTCGAGTTGTACCGTATATTTTTTATACGACCCATCAACGAAATTCTACAAATTTTAAAAATTAATTTAGGCTCTTTAGATAGAATATCTAATTTAAAAATAATTTATGACTTTTATTTATTTATCTATAATATAAAAATAAATCGCAAAATGTGTTGGTAAGCGCATAACTCAACAACGCCAGGAGAAGGTTCTTGTGAAAGAAAAAAATAAGAAAATTGCGCGGAAAATTAGAAAATTTCTATATATATAAAAATGAATCCCTATTTCCTTTGGTCACGGCATCACGCGTGCACGGCTGGACCGATTTCGCTAATTCTTTTTTGTTGTGTTTGTTATTGTCAGGAGAAGGTTCTTATGGAAGAAAAATTTAAGAAAATCGCGCGGAAAATTTGAAAATTTCTATATATATATATATATAAATAAATCCCTATTTCCCTTGGTCACGGCATCACGCGTGCACAGCTGGACCGATTTCGCTAATTCTTTTTTTGTTGTTTGTTATTGTCAGGAGAAGGTTCTCATGAAAGAAAAAATTAGGAAAATTGCGTGGAAAATTAGAAAATTTCTATATACATAAAAATGAATCCCTATTTCCCTTGGTCTCGGCATCACTCGTGAACGGCTGGTCCGATTTGGCTAATTCTTTTTTGTTGTGTTTGTTATTGTCCAGAAAAAAAACAAAGAATGTTGAATATCATAAAGCATTAGAATAATAAACACTTTGTTTCTGAAATATTTTTTAGTTAATTATACCAATTCGAAATCAATATTCATAGTTAAGACAGGACAACGTCTGTCGGGTTCGCTAGTCTATAAAATAAACGCTGTTGCTAGGTACACGCTAAAGTGTACGCAAATCATAAAATTATATACACGCGAAACGTCATATTGCTGTGGTGGGAGATGTTTGTGTGAATGCGTCTTGTTTGTTTTCATTTACGCACTGACTAGCACAGTAGTATTTTATAAACCTTAGAAGCAAATTTCACATACATGAACAAATAATAATAATGCCGTGACAACAAGAAAACGAAGTAACGACTTCTCGAAAGGTGGCGGCTTCGCCGCCACAAACAAATTTCAATCCATACCTAGCTACGACCGGCGTAAACACCAACTGGCCTGCACACAGCTCACCTACTCTGTCAAGACGTTTCGCGTGTATATAAATTTTTGAATTGCGTACAAGTTAGCGTGTACCTAGACACTGTGTAAAATAAACTTCAATCCTAACTTTTCGCATAGCAACTCAGTACTATACCCTCAGCTCTATCAAGACACCTAACCTTTTAGTTTCAATACGCATAATTAAGTTGATAAATATAGTTTTATTAAAATGTATTATTTTTTGTGAATATAGACGAATATCTTGTGTATTATTTATCGATTCTAAACAATCACTCATTTTTATTTAAAATTATTCTTAATAACTAAAAAGTAGACTGATAATTAGTTTGACATAATTATCAATTATTTAAAATTTAAAAAAAAATAGTAGTTTGGTTACCAAATAAGAACTGTGAATGGTGGATTTCATATCCGTGCAGTGTTTTTACTAGGAGAATGGATATGAAATATATTCCTTCAGTTAAACCTACTTTTTAGTTTTGTAGAATATCCACGTAGGTGTAGAGAACATTATTTAAACTGTTTTTACTATTTGAAAAAGTTATTCATGGTTGTTTTATTTCAGGGAGATTCAGGTGGTCCACTAGTTATTGATGGAGTTACCTATGGAATTACTTCAACTGGCCCTGGTGGATGTGGAAATTCGACATACCCAACAATCTACACGAGGGTTGCCAATTATATAGACTGGATTTCAGATAAACTATAAATATGTAATTTTAAACATTTTTAACTTAATTAAAATATTTTATTCATCTTTATTTTTTTTTTGTTGTTTGATGAGTATTAATAAAATATGCACTTTCTTAGGCTAAAGAGGAATCAGAGCTACCACTCACAGGACACCAACCTGTATTTGGGATAATCAAAACATCTGCTCGACAGGCAGTGAATGCACACTAGCCAGGTAGCATATAACGTTGACAAGCCATTCTTAGATGTTGCTTTAACGAAACTTAATAACATTACTTTACGACGTAATTGCAACGTTCATTAAAGGTTGTTGGGGGAAGCCAAACCTCGCAAAACTTCTATTTTTTACTTACCAATTTAACCTACCTGTTATGTTAACAAAACGTTATGCTATTTGCTATACACCAGAAATTTTGGAAATATCACATTGTTTCCGAATGCAGCACCCTTTTACATAATAAGCAGAAACGTTTTATTTTGTCCAGAGATAAGGGAGATAAAGATAGGAAACGCCCATAAGAAGCCAATGCTTAACAAAGACCAGCTTTATCGCAGTTAACATCTGACCCACTATGTGGCGCTTTCATCGATATCAAACAACGCAGCGGGAAATTTAAAAACCTGATAATGAAGGTTGTAAATAAACTTAAACAACGTAATTGTCCTAAATTATTTATTAAAAAGAATACTACACTTACAGTCTATTATCGATTAATTATAGAAAATCTATATTCATGACAAATATTTTTTTAATTTTTGATTTTGTGTTCCAAACGAATGGCCTTATTTAAAAATGTTGAGTGCAAATTCAATAATGGGAATTCAGATATTTTTCTTCTTATATCAAATCTTCTTTCTAACGTTTTGAAGCCATTTTCTTGTTCTAAAATAATAAATAATACATATAAATACCTACTTTGTGATAAAAGTTGATTACTATTTGTGTTATTTACATGAATAGATCTTACCTACTTTGGTTAATTAAAGAACGCCACATTGGGGTTGTTAAATTTGTTCATGTGGCATGTGTTACTAATGCAATACATTCTCCGATTTATTATAATATTACAAAATATAATTATTGTCCTCAAATTTCACACAAAAACAGCCACAACTATTTCGCTTAGTTCATCTAGAGGATAACACAATCATGAACTCAAAATTTAAATTCAGGATTCTTCGATATACATAACACTAACTGACATTTATATTTACAAACTGTTAATTGCTGTCCACGTCAACTGCCTGTCTCAGTGTTGCCAATTGTACGATTTAAATCTTATTTGTACGATTTTTTAACTCTGTACGATGTACGATTGCATTAGTGAGATCGTACGTAAAAATACGATCTTCACTTTTTTTAGTTGGTTTATTTAAATATCTGCAACAACTTCAGAACATAAAAATCAAAAACTACTTGCAAAGATTCATAGGCCATTTGTAATTTCTAAAGGCGGTCATTTTCGTTCTGACTTATCGTGATTTTGACCATGTTGATTTTGTACACCGACTATCACGGCATAAGAAAAGCTTGCATGCAAAATTTCAATCACATTCAAGTGACAATCATTGATTACTTTAAATGTGTTAATTTGAAGTTTCATGTATTTCCATTAGTTTTTTTTTTTTTCGTTATATACATTTTTATAAATAGATACATAAATTATCATGCCAAAGTTTTTTTTTATTTTTTCATTCCATTTAAGTTATATTATGCTATGCATGTATCTATTGTACAATTTTTTGTCGCAATATCATTTTTCTACTCTACTTGTACGATCTCTCAAAAAAAGTATTTGGCAACACTGGTCTCTCTACAAACGACGTAGACCTGTAGTTAACATCTGAGACGCTAGATGACGCCATTGTTGCTGCGGTCGTTGCGTTTCCAATCTTTATCTCCCTTATCTCTGATTTTGTCATTAATCCACAATTAGATGTATTTTGTGTTGCGGTCCTCGCGGAAACTATTTCTGTATTTTGTCGAGCCTCAGTTTCCTAAAGCGGTTCGGAGTGTTGTCCTTGTTAATAATGTCAATAGTCATTGTCAATGTTAGCTGTCAATGGGGGTTTATCAAAAAATCTAAAAAAACCGAGAGGTGAATTGGGGTAAAATATTTTGTTTTTAATGTGTTTGCGTAATATTTTACCAGTCGATTTGGTATTATACGATAAACTAATTTAATTTATTTGGAGACTTTATGTTTGGGCTGTTGAGCTGCTTAGTTTTGAAAATTCTCCAAATTTGAACCTAAAAAGGGGATTTATTTTCACCCCACACCCGTTTGTTATAATGAAGGCTAGTGTCATTTGATGGATTGCTATTGGAATTAGTGGGGTCTTTCTGCAGCCTTCCTGCAGCCTGTCTGTGGCCTTTCTGCAGCTTTTCTGCAGCTTTGCTGCAGCTTTTCTGCTTTTTTATATCTTTTACCTTGATGTTTCATTTACCTTCCATTTTTGTGTGGAGCCCCAGAGCTCTTGCTGGAAGCTGTTTATTATGGGCTACTAAAAAAATAGTATTTGTCCCTGTGCCACTATAGGTAGAGTTGTGGAGTCACCGTACACCATCTATCAATTGCGAAGAAACACACTCATCCATTCAGTTGATGAGTTAGGCGAGGTGCCCATATCAGCGGAGATTAATGAGTTTCCTCCATCTGGAACAGTGAGGTATTTATGTGATACATTTTAAACATTTTCATATAAAATCTACTCCATAATAATAAGACTATGTATTTGAAGATCACAGGGACCAGGTTCTGTTAAAAGTGTTTGTAACGATTGTTTAATTTAAAAATAGTTTATTTATTAAAAATCATTTATTAGTAATTTATCTATAACGTACTAATTAATTTAAATAATACTTAGGCATTATTATAACTCATAATTCTAATGTATTTATTACACAATCTTTTTTATGCAACACTTGAATTGAAACAACGTATGTCGATAAGTCGCGCTATTTATATAGAAATGTAACACCAACTCTGACCAGAAGCTCAGTCTAGAAGTTCTGGAAATTATTCTACACGCGTCAGACTGCGATGAAAAATATTCGATTCGGTTTTTCGTGTCTCGATATGGGTCTCAATATGGCCAGCGCTAGACTTCCTGTCGCAGATACGGTAACAAAGGACAGAGTCGGCTTTAAGCGACATTGTCCCCTCCTTACGAAATATGTTCTTCTGGAACTAAAATTGAATGATTGTATCTGCAACTAGACCTACTTTTACAATTTCCATTCGTATTTAAATAACAAGCGACGGTTTTTGCTGAAACCTGGACACTAGCCCTAATAGCACAGTATTGTTACACAAACGCTCCAGAAACATGCACCTGGATATTAGAAACGTCTCAGTCATGTTTCTTATTCTCCCTCAAACGTACCTGGGATGTTTCTGGCAATGACCATGTCATCATTTGTAACATATTAGAGACGTTTCACAGAGACGTTTGTGGAATATCCTGCGATGTTGCTCAAACGTCTTAGGTAAGTTTTTATACTATTGCTGGAACGTTCAGAAATGACCTAAACATTTTTTTAGTAAGATAATAAAATCTATTATTTTTTTCATAAAGTCATGTGTTGGACCATTAGATTTTTTTAATAATTGTTTTGATACAGATTATTTCAAATACGATCGTGATTACCTTTTTTGTACAATAGGCCTTTCCATCATGTGATGAGCGCAAGCGCAGCCGCCATGTTGAAATACCGCCAATTCAAAAGTTTCGTACTGTTTTGATCAATCATTAAAAAAAATCGTTGATGGTGATTTACATTTTTAAAAACTCTGTGGAAGCACATAGTTGTGAGCAATTAAAAAGGTTCATGAAGTGACGTGGACGTTCGGACCAAGGAAAAAGAGTGTGGTGATTGAGAGGTTAGGTTTTAATACATATTAACTGTGTAAAAAATTAAAGAAAACAAATAATAATTATAACTCTCTTCTAATTAATTATGCCAACCAACAATTAATAATTGCAGAAACACTTTAATATGAAAGTTAATCACGAGTATAATTAGTAAGATAAATTATTTAAAATTTTAAGGATCAATATGACATTTTTAATAATATTACTGTGTATACCGAAGTAGTATTTAATATTAAATAATATTGTGTAATACCAGACAAGGATTTTCTTCTGTTGAACCACTTTCTCCATGAAAATGTAGTGAACAAATATAAATATCTCTAGTAACATCATCTATCAATCGATCGAAAACCTTTGTCACTTCGACCACATTTTTTCACACATAATGCTCAGTTTGAACATGTTTTAATATGTATTTTGCCTAATGATTTGACAGTTTTTTTACGATATTGCAGGCAAGTCTTTTTATAAAATAATAATTTATACCGTGTGTCACTTTTCCATACTCATAACAATACCGTTTAGTTTTTCCTTTCCGTAAAGATAACATAATTTATTGCAAAAATTGATTTTTCAATTAAGACACATTACTTTTTTATCGCATTTTTTAAACGAATGCACTTAAATTTAATATTTATCGATTATAATTTTTTTCACGTTGACATTTTAACATGCTTGTTTACAAAAAACAGTACGACAAAGATGGCTGATACAGACGTATGCGCACAAAAAAAAATTGTGATGAAAAGGCCTATGGACCTTTCTCGTTATTGATGATCTCTAATGCGCAAATTCTACTTCCTCTTAAAATCATCAAAATATATTGTTATTTTTGGTACCCCGAGTTCCAATTATACATTTGCAAATGTCATTTTGTTTTTGAGTTTGATAGTAATGGTAGGGAGCCAGTGACACTTTTATTACAAATATATCGTTCAATCTTACCTTGTAGAACATGGTAATAGTTTGCTACGCAGCGATGGAGCCCTCTAGGATGACGTTTCAAAAAAGCGTGTAAAAAAATGCTGTCATGAAAGCTGCGCAGTGCGACCAATCTCCGTATAGTAAAAGAAAATCAAAGTATGTGATCTCCTCTCATAAACGGTGCAATCTCGGGCATCGTTTAAACAGAATCAATCTTAACTTAAGGTGAGAAGGGTGTGCTCGTCATAATATGTGAGTTTTCCCGCAC